CTAGGGGGCACCGGTATTGTAAGTAGTGATTATTTCGGGTCCGAAGGGTAAAGCTATAAGTGAGTGTGCGCAAGGTTGAATCTTAACTTTAACGGGGTGAATCGTTACATAACAATTTATAAGAAATTGTTAATAGAATATAACTATAAGAGTTATATTCTCAGAATATTGTCATAAGGACAAATATTCTGTAGCACTTACGAGTAGTTCCTAATTGGTTGATATAGGCCATTATATCAACCAACGAAGACGCGCCACGACAGACGCACGCAATGAGTGGTGAGCAGATAACTGATTTACACATTTGTATTTAGACATAGTTAGATGAAGATAAATAGTGATTTATTGCAGACATTAACTATTATAAATACAGTTCTACTTTTTACTTAAACCAAGTACTCGCTTCTTCTTACCGTCTTCCTCTGCACGTACGAGTGTACGTGAAGTTACGAGGCACCACCTTATTCTGTCATCAGAATAAGTAGCTTGTACTGTCACCAGTACAAGCTTCAGGGTGCCCCGTTACACCTGGTAGCACTTCGTAGTCCGTCCAAGGACCGCATTCACATCCAACATGATATGTTGGATGATGAAGATGACCAAAGCTTTCACGCTACGCGTGACGGCTACTCCCATTTGAGCGATGTCGAATGGGATGCGGTTGAACGAATGGGTTCAACCATGGGCATCCATGCTGTTAGCGTCATGCTAGAGGCTCTCAATAGATATGCCCAACATGCTAATATCGCCAAGTTCAATCAAAATGAACTTGACGCAGAACGCGAGAAAGTAGCCTTGCTTCACCAACAAGGTTCTCAACAAGCAGAATTGTTGAGAGAACAGGGTGCTCAACAATTTGAACTGTTGAGACAGCAGCAGGCTGCTGCTGGTGGGTCGATGCACTCGCGTCGACCCAAAACTTTGAAGATTGACATCTCCAAGTATAGGGGAGTCGAAGAGGACTCCCTCTTGAGATGGTTCGTCGAATTGGACGACGCCATAAGGGCGCGTCGCATCGACGACGGGGATATGCAAGTTGCATTTGCCCAGTCAAATCTGGCAGGACGTGCCAAGACTTGGGCACTGGGGCTCAAGTTGCACGACCCATATGCGTTTGGGTCGTTGGAAGTCTTCAAGTCGCGGCTCAGACAAACGTTTGAACCGCCTAGAGCTGAGTTCAGAGCTCGAACCGAACTCTTGAAGCTCAAGCAGGGTAAGCGTGATGTGCACGCTTACGCGCAACATATACGAAAGCTCACGAGTTGTATAAGTTCCAATCCGGTGGATGAACACACGTTGGTTTCGGTGTTCATGCAGGGTCTTGCGGATGGTCCCGTCAAGACTCACCTGTTCCGGCTTGAACTAGATTCACTAGAACAAGCCATTTCCATTGCGGAGCAGGAAGACTTCAGTCTGAGACAGGCTCGCGCCAGCTCGACATCATGTCGTCAACCGAGACGATATGACAACGGAGGTCCAGAGCCGATGGAACTCTGTTATGTAGAGAGCGAGAAGGCTCGCTCTACAGGCTACAAGAGGTTGCAGAGATGCAACAGGTGTCAAAAGACAGGACACTACGCTTACGAGTGTAGTGCCCCTCGTCCAGTGTCTCGCGACACTGGGCGTAGTGACCGTCCACCCATGAGAAAGGGGCAGGGACGAGGGTCCGCTGTTGGTGCAAAGACGCAACAACGGGATGGACCGTCAAAAAACGGACAGGATCAGTAGGTGCGGAGCACCCTACTGATCCAGCAACGTCAAGAGAATTTGTAGGCCTCTTGATGAAGGTTGCTCCCAACACACATACGTTGTGCGTTGCTACTATAGGTAATGAGGTCTCACTCATTACCTTGAAACTCGAAGTGACGAATAAGTTGTCCCTTCGAGCTCTAGTCGATTGTGGGGCGTCCAACAATTTTGTGCGACGCCAATCGCTAGAAGATGGTCACTTTAAATTCAGTGAATGTGACACACCTCCTACGAGGATGACGGTACGTCTTGCGACAGGCGCATCCGTAACCGTCATGAAGCGTATAGTGAAGATTCACTATACGCTAGAAGATACCCAATACGACGATGACTTTATCGTATTGGATTTGGATGACAAATTTGATGTCATCCTTGGAATACCGTGGCTCAGAAGGTACGAACCACGGGTAAACTGGCAACATCGGACAGTAACGATGCCTGCCGCTTGTTCATCAGATGGCCATCTGATGAACGTTTTGGAGCGTCCACAAGCGTGTGGATGTTCTACGAGTGAGTGCGATGGCCTCACTTGTGGTACGGTCGTTAGTACGACTGCACAAAACCTTAGTGTACCAAACGGTTACACTTCGGAGCAAAGTTCCGGCGGCTGTGAGGAAACACAGGCTGCGCCGAAGGTCCACCACTCGAATAAGTCGGGTGGACTGGGACAAAGATGTATCCCTAGCGGGGAACATCTAGAAGAGAAACAATCGATCGCTCAGGTTACGCGAAACGATAATCCTAGATCGACTGGAGAGTCTTTCGTAGAGGATCTCGCTGTGGTTGCGCAACCCCAGCTAGAGGAAGTAAAGGGAATAAGTCCCAAGATTACAAATACGGCGGAAATAAGTTCCCCGAAACCCGAGGGAATAAGTCCCCGGGAAGCCGAAGGAATAAGTCCTTCGAAGCCTGAGGGAATAAGTCCCCAGGAAATGACAGAGACATTGAATGTCATAGTCAATAATGGATCAAGTGTAGGCGCTTATACACTTGATCTGATTGCGCCTCCGAAGTTAACTTCGGAGATCACTCAGTTGCCAACGCTCGAACATAAAAGGTTCTTGCGTGATCTGCGTAGTGGCAAAGTCAAGCAGATCTGCGTACTCGTCGCTGACGACGAGTGTGTAGCCGACATAAGGTCAGCAACAGTGTTTACTGAGAACGAGAGAGTTCTCAGTAGTTCATCTATGGACGAGAGTGTCCTAGATGAAAAGACACGAATTGAGCGATATGACTCCCAATCATGGGAATCGCTCAAGACAAATCCTCTCTATGAAGATTTGGTTTGAATTCAAGGATGTATTCCCTGAAACTGTTCCGTGCGAATTACCGAAGGATAAAGGTATTCGACACGAGGTCGAGCTCAAACCAGGCTCGAAGTGCTGTGTCATGAAGCAGTGGCCACTGCCTCGTGAACAAGTACTTGCGATCGACAAGTTCTTTGCCGATCGTTTAGCTGCGGGCCATGTGAGGGAATCAACTTCCCCACATAGCTCTCCGACCTTCTGTGTGCGAAAAGCAACAGGAGGGTGGCGGATAGTGCACGCGTTCAACAAATTGAACGCTGCAACGGTACCGGCTCAGACGCCGATACCGAGGAAGGACGTAATCATTGATGGCACGTCAAAGAGTACCATCTATTCGTCCATGGATTTGACGGATGGCTTCTATTAATCCTTATGCGAGAACGGGATATACCCTATACCGCAGTTAGCACGCCTAGCGGCATGCTCTGGGAATGGCTAGTAATGCCACAAGGGCTTAGTAATGCCCCTGCCACGTTCAACAGATGTGTATCACATCTGTTGAGACCAGTACGAGAATTCGCGCCGAGTTATTTCGATGACGTATTCATCCATAGTCGAGCTATGGATGGAAAGTCGGATGTTGAGGTTCACAGGTACCACGTCCGACAAGTTCTTACAATCATGCGAAAGCATCAATTGTATGCAAACCTCAAGAAGTGTATATTTGCAGCAAGCAAAATACCACTTCTTGGGTGTATCGTTGCTAAGAGCGGTGTACGTCCTGATCCCGTAAAGATCAAGGCGATCACCAACTGGCCTGTGCCGGTTGATGTCAAAGGTCTTCGAAAATTCCTTGGGCTAGCGGCGTATTTGCATAAGTATTCACGCAATTACGCCGAGATGACTGTGCACCTCTCTCGTTTGTTGAAAAAGAACGAGAGGTGGTTATGGAACGCTGAATGTCAGCGCTCCTTTGATGGTATCAAGCAGAGCTTGATACAATCCCCAGTCCTAGCAATAGCCGATCAGGACAGGCCATTTCATGTGGTCTGTGATGCCAGCGATTTCGCAATCGGCTGTGCATTAATGCAGTACGACCTAGAAGGCGTTGAACGCGTCGTCTGCTTTCAGTCGCGTCAGCTGCAACCAGCTGAGCGTAACTATCCAGTGCATGACAAGGAACTCCTTGCCATGAAGTATGCACTCGCGAAGTTCAGAGTCTATCTATTAGGAGATAGACCCTTCATTGTTTACACTGACCATGCTTCATTACGCACGGCAGTGAACAGCACGCACCTTTCACAACGAATGGCGCGGTGGTTGTCATTCTTTGCGGAATACAACTTTACGGTCGAGTACAAACCAGGACGACTTAATGTCGTCGCTGATGCACTCTCACGTCGTCCCGACTTTGAAACAGTCGCGAAACCCAACAGTGAGACAGTCACTGTTGCGGTTATGACGTCCTCAGTCCCATCTACAACGTTGTATGATGATGTATGGCGGGCATACGCCCAAGATGGTGAGATTGTGAAGTTGTTGACACATCTCTCACAGCCATCTCGAGAATCGTTGAAACGATTATCGTCTGCGTATCGATCTGCATCAGATCGATACACTACTCGCAACGGTTTTCTGGATTATATAGCCATTTCTGGTGACACACCACGTGTTGTCATTCCAGATGATACTGATCTGCGTTTGCGGATCAGGTTCGAGTATCACGATGCTCCTGTAGGAGGACATCATGGCCGAGAGAAAACATATCTCACGGTGAGTCGAGACTTTTACTGGCCCCGCCAGTATCAGTTTGTGCGAAAGTATGTTCGCGCATGCGAAGTCTGCCAACGAGTGAAGTCAAGTCCTTCACTGCTTGCACCTTTACAGCCTCTACCGGTTCCGGCTGAGTGCTGGGAATCCATCTTAATGGATTTTGTCTTCGGGTTACCCAAAGACGCACGCGGGAATACGGGTATTCTCGTATTTGTTGACAGATTCAGCAAAATGGTACACCTTGTGGCTGTACCGGAGACAATCACGGCAAGTGGCTGTGCTTGTGTCTTTATCGACACCATCTTCCAACTTCATGGGTTGCCCCGTGAACTCGTATCGGACAGAGATCCACGATTCACTGCTGATTTCTGGCGTTCCGTGTTCAAATCACTCGGAACGCGCTTGAAGATATCTACATCTGATCATCCAGAGTCAGATGGTCAGACGGAACGTGCCAATCGTGTCCTTAAAGAGATACTTCGAGGATACGTACACTCCTTTAAGAGTTGGAGTGAGTTTTTGCCGATGGTAGAGTTTGCCATCAACAACTCGGTGCATGCGTCCACGACACATACACCGTTTTACGTGAATGGCTTACGCCATCCGCGTGTACCCACCTTACTAGAGTGTAACTCTGGTTTAAGGGGGGAGGGACTCGCGCGAGCAAAATCCGATTTGGTTCACGCTCATCACGATCTGACGAATAGGTCATTGCGTTTGATGCCGATATCGATAACATCGATATCGAAGAAGATAATGCCAGTGAGAGTGCGGAAGCCCTCACTGAAGAAGATGGTTCCAGTGAGAGTGCGGAAACCCTCACTGAAGAAGATGATTCCAGTGAGAGTGCGGAAGCCCTCACTGAAGAAGATGATGCCAGTGAGAGTGCGGAAGCCCTCACTGAAGAAAAAGTTGATGTTGCTGCAGTGCGCTCACAGCGCACTGAAGCTAACGAGTCATCAGATGAGTTCATACTGGCTCGTGAAACGGTAGTCCGTTTTGTGCAAGATTCCATCGCCGAAGCGGTGGATAAGCAAAAGCAAAACGCTGACAAGAATGAAAGGGCAAACACTCTTTGATTTAATAAAGGTGACTTAGTCCTACTGTCTACGGTTAATCTTCCAAAGCATGTAGTGACTAACTTGGGTAGCAGTAAACTACTACCCAAGTACATCGGCCTATTTCGTGTATTGCACCGCCTAGGCAATGCATACACGATCGAGTTACCACGTAAGATGCGAACGCATCCCACGTTTTACGTTGGTCGGCTTAAGCCGTACCATCAGTACGCTGCTTCTTCTGATGAAGAACGCCCTTGCGCTCAAACATCTCGCACAGAGCCTTGTGCTCCCGATGGTGGGCATCAACAAGGGTCTGAAGAGCAGCTATCTCATCCCGAGACCGATCAACAATCCCACGAGCTACCCTTAGCTCGTCACGAAGAGATGTCAGAGATCTCTCGTTCTCAAGCTGAGCAAAGGCAAACTCAGCTCGATGCTTTAAGGCAGTGTCCGCCATTTGGAGACGCCTATTCCGCTCATGTTCGAGATCGTTGCGTAACCCTTGCGTTACGCGATCAAAGAAGCTCTCGGGAACACACCGATCCACATGATCGTGTGGAGAGCGTCTTTCCTCCTCCTCCACCTCCATTAGAGGACTCTCGCGGTGGCCAGCGCTTATCTAGTTGAGCAGCTGTTGAACCACCGCGACGTGAACGGACGTCGGACGAGTTATCTCGTCCGGTGGCGCGGCTATCCCCCGTCCTGGGATTCTTGGGAGCCCCGCTCCCAACTGATGATCGACGTACTGGGTCTGGTTGAGCAGTACGACGCGGCACATCCTGAGCCGCAGAAGGACCGCCGGAGAAAGTCTTCCCGGCACGGTCGTAAAGGGATTTCAGATTGTCAATCCCTTCGTACATCTCAATAGAGATACGTACGCGCCACCACGGGCTATTAGGGAGGTAAGCCTCCTTAGGTGCTCGTGCAGAGTTGTTTACGAAACACGGGCACGAGTCTCCCCAAGAGAGGCAGGGTAATCCTTTCTCCCTTAACAGACGATGCAGCTTGTAGCGTGCACCTGTCGGGGTTCGCTTTTCAAACTTATCACGAGCTTTGATAAGTTTGTCGTTCCAAGCGTCACGACCTACATCCTCAAGGTTATGGATGTAGGCGCTCCACGCCTAAAGCAGTGAGGGACCATCACGCTTGTGATTCCCACTGTACCATCGATGTCTAAAAAAAGCATCGATGAAGAATTCATTCTCAGCGCGATAGTTTTTCGCGCTGGGGTCAAGGTGATGGATCCTTGACGAATCGAACAACCGTGTTCGATAACGATCACTCGTCGTCGCCGACAAGTGATCCATGACAGATTTTGGAGGCATCCATGCCTTCTTCTCGGGAGCGAGACGCAAGACATTGCGATCCCGCTCTTCCTGCGATGTGCCAACAGAAGTACTGGCACCTCGTTGCGAAGTGGTGTCCATAGGAGAACCGGCACCACTGTTAGCGCCCGAGTCTCGCGACCTCGAGCGCCTACGCTTCGGCGATGGTTCATCTGATTCATCAGATGAACCAAAGATGCTACGACGCAAAGCATCATCCATGCCACGCTTGGCAGGCGGCTTGGATTCAATCGCCGTCGATACGGATCCGTTTTCCGTATCAGGAGAGTACGAGACACCGAGCTCGTACTCTGTGAAGACATGAGTGTCTTCATGACCAGCGCCTGCATCACCAAGTGACACAGGCTGGGTCGCTTCAGCAACCGATGAGACATCAGTTGCTGTGGTTTCTGCTTCGGCGTCCGCACAGAGACGTGCGGACGCGCTCTCGGCGGCCTTGCTCGCGCATCGCATGGGCTTGTTAACCATGCGATGAATGTTGGGAAGTGGACTCGGACCAACAAGTGCAAACCCCGTCCCAAATGATTTGGGACGAGTATCCATTTAGTCAATCAGTCACTAAAGTGACTGATGGTTAAGGGGGGGGTGATGTAACGGGGTGAATCGTTACATAACAATTTATAAGAAATTGTTAATAGAATATAACTATAAGAGTTATATTCTCAGAATATTGTCATAAGGACAAATATTCTGTAGCACTTACGAGTAGTTCCTAATTGGTTGATATAGGCCATTATATCAACCAACGAAGACGCGCCACGACAGGCGCACGCAATGAGTGGTGAGCAGATAGTTGATTTACACATTTGTATTCAGACATAGTTAGATGAAGATAAATAGTGATTTATTGCAGACATTAACTATTATAAATACGGTTCTACTTTTTACTTTAACCAAGTACTCGCTTCTTCTTACCGTCTTCCTCTGCACGTACGAGTGTACGTGAAGTTACGAGGCACCGCCTTATTCTGTCATCAGAATAAGTAGCTTATACTGTCACCAGTACAAGCTTTAGGGTGCCCCGTTACATTAACCTTCTAAATCGTACTTATCAGTCGTGTCTGCATGTCTGTATGTTTGTAAATAACGCGGTTACGTGCATCTTACTCGTGCTAAATACGATCTAGCCAGTCCGCCCTCATTGGTCGATTAGCTTTAATAGGTGTCACTCTATGGCTTGGCCGATGATGTGATGCACGCACCTGATCGGCTTCAAATCAATCTAAGGTGAACATGAACACATAAGCAAATGCTCGACGATCATAAGCAAAGGCCGGTCGCGTTGCCCAAGCCTACTGTACTGGACCAATACATACATAAAACATACCGTGTCTTTATAATTATGGATGGGTGGGGGTGATTAACGAATTGGTGGAACCGATAAACGGCTATCGTTATAACACTACGTTTCATCGACGCTGGCATAAACGAACCCAAAGCGCATATTTTATCCACCATCTCTAGCCGCCATTCACCCGAAAAGGGTACGTCACTATGCAGAACTCGATTTAGTATTATGGTCTCGATAACTCTACCAAACAGCGAGCGCCTGAGTCCATCTTATTATGAATAAGTGTTTCAAACGCTACATTTTGTTTTGAGTCGATCAAGTATCTAGGAAAGCTCTATTTGTTTTCCTGCCAACAGTGTTTTAGTACGACATTCTAAAAAAATGATCTGAAAAGAATGTGTCGCTTGAAAACAGGGGTACGTAAATCAAGAATTTGAAAGCTCAATTCCTTTCCCTCCTAACGGTGTTTTAATTCGACAAACCAAAAAAATGATCCAAAAAAGCTGCTGCTTAGAGACTGAGGTGCATAAATTCCTTTTTCTAGGGGATTCTTAAAATCGCCAGTGTTTTTTGTAAAATGCCCACGTTCGGTGGCAGGTCCAAACGTCCTCCGTTTGTAGCCTACCCCTCCTCTCTCGCATCCTCAAGTACACAATCGTACATAAATTAGGCTGCTAAGTCGTGGTTTGTGATCCCACTCATCGCCGTGACACAAAAACATTGTGCCCCAACCAACAGCGTCATAAAAACATGTGCTGATTATATGATCAAAACAGGGACCAAAACTATCGTGGAGACACCATCCGCCTAGTTGTAGCCATTTTCACATCAACCCATCTCAACTCAACCCATCTCAACTCAACCCATCTCGCTCGCCACTGGACCTCCCAACCAACCAATCATCCACTCGTCACTCACTTTGCTGTAACTCCATCAATCACTAGATCTCTTGCCGGTCGTCATGGTGCAGCCCCATGTCAACGAGACGCTACTGGACGTCCACAAGCCCTTTACCGAGTGCGCGTTCGGCCTCGACCGCCGCCTCACCAAGGCTGTCGCCAAGATGCAGTTCGTGCACGCGACGCTCGTGCAGCTGCACTGCATTCCACTGGCTCTCCAGGGCAAAGACCTGCTAGTGCGTGCTCGGACTGGCTCGGGCAAGACGGCGGCCTTTGCATTGCCGCTACTGCACAAGATATTAAAGACGAAGGTCCAGGACGCTACAGCAGCTGCAGCTGTCCGTGCACTGGTGTTAGTGCCTACGAAGGAGCTCGTGGAACAGACGCGACGGCATCTGTTGGAGCTCATGTACTATTGCCAAGACACGGTGAGTCTGTTGGCATTGGGTGGCCAGAGCATGAACGCCCAGCAGGCGCTGCTTCGGGATGCTCCAGACGTGCTCGTGGCCACACCTGGTCGCCTCGTGGCGCACTTGGAAGCTGGTAATTTGACACTCAAGGATTCAGTCCAGACGGTCGTGATTGATGAAGCGGACCTTGTGCTGTCCTTTGGATATGGAGAAGATATTCGGAAGATTGTCAATGCACTGCCAAAAGCGTGTCAGACGTTTTGTATGTCGGCGACGTTAAGTCCTGAGCTCGAGACGCTCAAGCGCTCGGTGCTGCATAATCCAGCGGTCGTGAAGCTCGAGGAAGGCGCGACCGATGGGAAACTCCAGCAGTTTTACTTACCAGTGAAAGCTGCAGACAAGGATTTGCTGCTGTACGCACTGCTGCGACTTGGTGTAGTGAGCGGCAAGGTGATCTTTTTCGTGAACTCGACGCCTGCTGCGTACCGACTCAAGCTGTTCTTTGAGCAGTTTGTGATCAAGAGCGCGGTACTTAATGCCAAGTTGCCTCACAACTCACGTCAGCACATAATTGAGGAGTTCAACCGTGGTCTGTTTGACTACCTCATTGCCACGGACGACAGCGTTGATCGGGACGAAGTCGGTGACGAAGAAGAGGATGAAGATGACCAAGAAGAGGTAGAGGAGGAAGAGGATGGGGATGCTGAAAATGATGAAAATGAGGAAGAGGAAGTGGCGGAAAGCACAGATGTGCCGGGCGAGGTGCCTAGCTCTGAGAAGGCAAAGGTTAAAGAGAGCAACAGCAATGAAGAAGGTGGCAATTCGGGGGACGACGACAGCGAGAATGAGGACGAAGTCATGGAAAGCGACAAGGACGAGCAATCTGATAACGACGACGACGCTACTAATGACGTTGACGACGACAAGCAGAGAAATGAGACGGTTGGCTCGAAGCATGATCGTGGCGATGACAAGAGCTATGGGGTGTCGCGTGGTGTTGACTTTCGTGGTGTCAAGTTTGTTATCAACGTAGACTTTCCGAAAAGTGTGCGTGCGTACACACACCGAATCG